GCTGCTGCCCCTGCTGCTCCAGAAAGTGAAGAGAAGAATCTCCCTGCGGCTGCAGCTGCTGCTGCTCCAAAGCTCCTGAGAACCCGGAAGGAACAGCAGCAGCGCCAGCTGCTGCTGCTGCTGCTGCTGCTGGGTGGGGAGCAGCAACCACAGGGTCTCCGTCCCAGGTAAACGGCAGCTCTTGGTGGGTAAAGGGCAGCGAGTGTCCCTGTTCTGCTGCTGCAGTTGCTGCCGCTGCTGCTGCTGCTGCTGCTGCGGCTTCTGGCGGAGCATCCATGGTGCTGCTGCTTCCTTAAACGTTGATCCTTCAGCTGCTGCTTTTGCAGCAGCTGGCCTGCCGCTGCAGCTGTGCCTGCTGCTGCTGCTGCAGCTGCTGCTGCAGCTGCTGCTGCAGAAGGAGTCCTTGCCTGCTGGTCGAGGCCGCTGCAGCAGCTTCACCCAGCAGCAACCGCCGTTTGCTGCTGCATGGGGGCAGGCGGCTGGAGCTGGAGGCAGCTGCTGCTGTTTGACGTGCTGCTGTTGCTGCTGCTGTTGCTGCTGCTTTCGCTGCCGTTGTCGTTGTTGCTGTTGCTGCTGCTCCTGCTATTTTTTGCCTGCTGTTGCGGTTGCTGCTGTTGCTGCTGCTGCCGTTGCTGCTGTGCTCGTGCTGCTGCTGTGGGATTCTCCACCGGCCTCCTGTGGCGGCTCAGCAGCAGACTCCGGCCTCGCCTGCAGAGGCTGCTGCTGCTGCTGCTGCTGCTGCTTTTGCTGCTTTTGCTGCTGCTGCTGTAGAAACAGCCTCAACGGGCGCATGCAGCCAGCGGACCGGCAAGCGTAGACCCTTGAATCTGCTGCTCAAATCCTAAACCCTAAATCCTAAATCCTAAACCCTAAACCCTCTGAAAACCAAAGATGGGAGCCCTTCTTGGAAACTAAACCGCACCCAGCCATCTGGAGTTCACCGGGGCTTGCTCTTGCTGCTGGAGCTGCTGCTGCTGCTGCCGCTGCTGCTTGTACCCAGGGCAGCAACAGCAGCAGTGCAAAAACATTTAGCGGAATGATTTGTCAGCAATTTTTTTAGCTAAATAATGCCATGAACTTCACTTAATCTCTAGCGCGCTGCTGCTGCTGCTGCAGCAGCAGCAGCTCCAGCTGCTGCTGCTGGGCAGGTGGTACTGCCCCTCTCCCACCGACCCGCCGGGGCCCCACGGGGCCCCTTGGCTTCGTTGCTTGCTGTGTCTGTTCCTTGCAGCAGCAACAGCAAAAACAGCAGCAACAACAACAGAAGCTGCGGCAGAAACAGCAGCAACAACAACAGAAGCTGCGGCAGCCGCAGCAGCAACAGCAGAAGTAGTAGCCTCAATAGCAGCAGCAACAGCAGCAGCAGCAACAACAACAGCAGCAGCAGCAACAGCAACAGCAACAGCAGCAGCAGCAACAGCGGCAACACCAGCAGCAGCACCAACAGCAGCAACAGCAGCAAAAAATTTCGCCACACAACTAAGGCGAAGTCAACAGCAGCGGCTTCAGAGCGCCAATAACCCCGCAGTAAGCCGTAGTAGAAAGTGTTGCTGCTGCAGCAGCTGCTGCAGCTGCTGCTGTTGTTGCTGCTGGAGCTGGTTCTGGAGCTGTTGTAGCGGTGCAGCAGAAGAGGAGCAGATAGCTGCTGGCTGCTGCTGCAGCGGTTGCTGCAGCAGCAGCAGCAACAGGGGCCAGAGCCTCTAGAGCCGACGCTGCAGCAATAATAGCATCGGCGCCAACAAGAGAAGCAGAAGCAGCAGCAGCAGCAGCAATGGCGCCCGATGATATTCCTGCTGATGCCCAAGACCCCTCCGGGCTTTTTGATGATGAGGATACCTGCATGCAGTTGGAGGAACCGCTGCAGCAGCAGCAGCAGCAGCAGCAGGAGCAGCAGCAGCAAGAGCAGCAGCAGAGCGTTGAGGACTCCCTTTTTTCCGCGTATTCTTACTCAGCAGCAGCAGCAGCAGAAACAGCAGAGGACCTGGAGGGCCTGTCCTTCTCGCCGTCCCCCGCAACAGCAGCAGCAGCAGCCCCAGCAGCAGCAGCAGCAGCAGCAGACAGCGCGCCGGCGCCGGCTGCGTCGGCGGCGTGCTCCCAGGCGCAGCAGCAGCAGCAGCTGCTGCAGCAAGAGGAGCAGCAGCAGCAGCAGGAAGAAGCCGTGGACCGCAGCGCCGTGCTGCTGCAGTGCGGCAGCTGCGCCTGCCACCTGCTGGTCTTTGAAGAGTTGGAAGAGAGGCAGCTAGCAGCAAGTTTTGATTTGCTGCACTTGATAGTGTTAGCAGCAACGCGGCCGCTGCCGCAGTGGCAGCAGCAGCAGCAGCAGCAGCAGGGGCTGCTGCAGCAGCAGCACGGCGAGCTGCTGCAGCCCATGATGTACAGCTGGGGCTTCGAGGAGCCCCAGCCCGTGAAGCTCAACTTGTCGCTCCTCAGGTTCACGCTGGACTGCATGCAGGCAACTAAACCCTAAACCCTAAACCCTAAACCCTAGGCCCTGGCCCGCGCCAGCCCAGCGCAAAGCCCTGCACTCTAGCACTGTGGAATGGCCCTAGCAGGCGCTCGACGGTTTGGGGTTTAGGGTTTGGGGTTCTGCGCGTAGCGTTTAGCTTCCATTCCTGAGGGTTTAGGGTTTAGGGTTTAGGGTTTGGGGTTTAGGGTTTACGGTTTAGGGTTTAGACCTCAAAGCAGCCCCACGCAGCCAGAGCCTTCAGCAATAATAATCGAACCCTAACACAAATAACAAAGGGTTCTGCTTCCTAAGTGAGAGTCTAGGGTTTAGGGCTCAGGGTCTAGGGTTTAGGGTTTAGGGTTTAGGGTTTAGGGTTTAGGGTTTGGGTGTGCAGAGCGTGGAAGCAGCAGGCGTTGGGTGCAGCAGGCGAAGCGCCTTCTTGTCTTCTTATTTGGCCTTTTGTCGTTTGCGGCGGCAGCAAAGAAGAGCAGCAATGAGGCTAAAAGCAGCAGCAGCAGCAGCAGCAGCAAGCAGCAGCAGCAGCAGCAAGTGCGTTTTCGTGCTGCACGCGTTCAAAGACTTTCCCGGGTTTGCCTTCGACGAATCCAAAGAGGTAAAATATTAAAAAGAAATGAATTTAAGTTTAATTTTAATTTTAAATTTAAACTTACTTTTAATTTTAAATTTAAATTAAATTTAAATTTAAGTTAAAATTAAATTTAAAATTAAAAATGATTAAAAGAAATTGAAGTAGACGATAAAGGGATTAGAGAAGTAAACAAATAAAAAGAGATAAATAAATAAATAACACAAAGTTAGAAATAAAATAAAAAGCCAACAAAAT